TATAATATAATATATTATATATTTATATATATATTTATATAAAAATTATTATGTTTGAAAATTTATTTGTTTCACGATTTATTATAAAAATATCTATATAAATAAATTTATTTTCAACATTAATAAGAAGAATGATCACAATACAAATTACTAATTGAAGAAAAATATATATTCAAAAATAATTACCTAAAGTGAATTAATAAAAAACTTTATTAACTAAAGTAAATTATGATTGGTTAAAAAAAAAGTCGTATGCGCGAATTCTTTAAGATTTCAAAGAAGTGCGTCTATTGTCCTTGTTAAATAATTTCATAAAATTTTATTATAATTTTTAATCATCGTATTTTTTATAATCTTAATTTATAATTTTATAATTCATTATGCTTCTCAAGTCTTTTTATAACAAAAATTCATTCAATATGTGTTTATTTATGTATTTCAATTTTTTATATTTATATTTTTCATCATTTTATATTTAAAATTCTTTTAAGATTTTATATAAATTAATTAAAATTAAAATATTTTCAAAATATTTTCTATATCTATTGATTTTATATTTTATATTTTTAATTATATATTATGTATTATTTACTTTATTATTTCTTAAGTTTAATTATTCGAACTTATTTATGAATTTGATATTAGATAAAATTTTATAATTTTATATAATTAAAATATTATTTTCATATTATTTATAAATAATTAATTACAATAATATATAATTAATTTTTAAATTCATTGCTATTTTTATTGTTATTTCATTGATATTTTTATTTTACTAAATAAATGAAAAAATTTTATTTAAATTTTATTTTGATAAACAAAAAATAAATCTGAAATAAATTTAATCCATAAATGACATATTATTCAAAAAGATAGAAATCTCTGTAACGAAATTGCATAATTATCATCAATAGCGTGACCCTATTGTGGAAAGCGCATCCATTGTTAGAAACGCATCAAAATTAGATCATATGAACACGTGCACCATGAAATGAATCCAAATTTGATTTCTGACACTCTTCACATCATTTTGCTTATTTGTCAATTTAATTTTTCTAAAATATTAAAATATATTTTCTTATTTTCTAAAATATAAAAAAAAAATAGAACATTTTATATTATATAAATTGATAGATATAAAATATTATAAAATAATATAAAATAATATAAAATCAAATAATATATTATATCCATTAATAATATATTATGAAATATTAAAAAATAAATTGTGATTATATTAATTTATAAATAATTTATAAATAATATATATTATTTCATTATTTATAAATATTTAATATATGTGCAGAAATATATAGTATGTCTCGAAAATATATAGTTATTATATAATTATTATAAAAATATATAGAGATTTCTGAAATAATTTAATAGTAGTAAAAGTAATATTTTCCTTTGCAAAAACTTATGATTTCATTAATGATTCATCAAAAAATATTTAGTTATTCACGAAATCGTAGTCAAACCAAGATGAATTAACATTACATAAAAGTACGAATAAATTCAAGCAATATGTGTCGAGGAAATTTCTATATAATATATATATAACATATATTTTTTTATCGAAAAAGAATTATGAAAAGAGAATTACATTGTATTTAGAAATAATAAATAAACTAAATAATTATTATTATAGGACGAATAAATCGAAATGAACATTAAATTAATATAAAAAGACGAATATAAAACTTTACTAATAAATGAACGATAAACAATAGAACGGAGAAAAACAGGAAGAGGAATTGACACAAAAAGACACAATAAAAAAAATTGATAAGAGGAGAAATTGATAAAGAAGAAAAAGAGAACAAAAAAAAATGGAGAAACGATAAAAGAGAAAGAAAAATAATAAGAAAAATGAGGATGAAGAGAATAGTAAAAGAAGAAAAGAATGATAAAGAAGACAAAAATTCTATACAAATAAGATTTATGTTCTTGAAACGAATAACAATTAATTAATTTATTTATTATTTCTGAATGAAAGATAATTCGATGTAATTTTTTTTTTTAATATTTGTTATATTTAATAGATTTTTTTATGTATATTGTTTGGATTTGTTCGTATTGCGACACATACCTATTAATATTAATATTAGTTAATAGTAATAGTAATATTAGTTGTCTTAACTAGTCTACAATGCTTCGTGATTATTGATGATATGAATATTTTTTGTTAATAATTCATTAAGAAAGCCGTAACGAAAGTTTTTGGAAAGAAAAAAATCTTACATGAAATTATCTCACCAATTTCCAGTTAATTGATATTCATATTTTCAGAAAATTCTATATAATTATATTTGAAATAGATTTAAGATATAACAAATATTTTTTACAATTAAATTAATTTAAAGTATTAACATTAATTGTTGAATATTTACTTATTATAATTTTTTTAAAATGATTTTACAAAATGATTACAGTAAATAAAATTTTTTAAAAATTCACTTTATTATTTTTAGAATTTATTGTAATTATATTATATTGTTATATAACTATGTTATATATAACAGTATTCTTTTTTTAGTATGTTTTATTTTGTTCTAATTGATATGTTTTATAATGAGAAGTATTATATTATATTCTTTATTCTAGAAAAGCTTCCAAGTTTTGCTATGAAGCATTTCAGCGCCGACGCTCAAAGCATTGATCCAAAGCGTCAGCTTGCAGTTATGGATATAGTACATATTACCAGATTCGAATTAAAGATCCACCCTCACAATCAATATGTACAAACTTATAACATATATCATTCTCAATTTATTGTATCATATTTTTTAAAAAACATTCTTCAAATACATATTACATTTACTGTATTAACAAATATAATAAAATAAGAAATATTATTCAATTATAATGCATTTAATATATTAGTTAATTTATATAAATTTGATAAAAATCTTTTTTCTTTTCTATGAAATAATTTTCTATTTTCTATTTTTCTAGTATTAAAAAATTCTTTATATATATATATATTTCATTCGTTTTTCAATTATATTAAAAAAATTATAGAAAATAAGGTAAATAAATTAATAAATATATTTAATAATAATTTTAATATAATAATATTTGTATAATATAAATAAATAAGTGATATCTAAAATTTTCATTTCAATAAAAAATAAAATTTTATTTTCAATAAAAAAAGAAAAAAGAATTTAACTAAATTATATTTTAAATGATATATAAAATAAAACAAAAAGATGATAAACATACAACAATAATACTGTGGCAGAGAAAAAATAACACCAAAAAGAGATCCTAATAAGAAATCTGCTTACTTGTGATCGAATATTAATAACTTCATGCACCCCGGAACTCTTGAAGCAAACACAATGAGATTTGACACGGAGAGAGCATGCTGGATGTTTATACGCGTTCAAAGGGAGAATTTAGTGTCAAGTGAATCGACTAATATCTATTTAATTAATTCGGGGGAACGCACTCCCTCGGTTAACAATATGTTACCCTTCTGAGAAGATTTTGTCATGGTCTTTTGAGTGATCCTGTTAGAAACTTAATTTATGAAACAATTTATCTCCAAATAGACATAAAGAAATCGTAATAATTTGCGAAAAATTTTATTTGTAATAACTTTAAAAATGATGATAGAAGAAATAATCATAAAAAAAATTTATATCTTAATAAAATGATATATATGAATAAATTGGTGATATATATGATAATTGACTTTAGAAAAAATTAATTTATTTGTTAATAAAACTTTTCTTGTTTATAAAATTATATATTATTGAAACATTTTTGTACTATTTGAAATGAAATTATGCATTATTTATGCATTATGTATTATATCGTTTAATAGATTATTTTTCAGCAAATATCAATTCTCAATGCTTATTTAAAATACATATTAAATTTATATTTAATATATTTAAAAAAAAGTAGATGATTACATTTCATTTAACATATGCTGTAACACTTGAAGGGAAATCAAATATATGTTATACACAATATATTTATTCACTATTAAAACTAATTAAACAATTCTTTTCGCTTAAAGGTATATAAGAAGTAAATCTACATAAATATAGATTATATAACAAAAAATATAAGATATATAATATTAAAAATTTTATCATAAAAATTAAGAAAAACAATATAGATTTAAATATAGATATAGATTAAAATATAGATTTGTAATTAAAAACATTTTAATAATAATAAAATAATAAATATTTTCCTCTAATTTCATCATTTTTATAAATATTAATCTCTTTTTTAATAAATTGTAATCATATGTATAAAATATTGAATGTAAATAAAATCTTTTTAATCTTGTAGTTATAATGAAAAAATGAAAAATAGAAACTAAAAAAACTCAGAAAAATATAGATTAAAAAAAAATATAAAATGTAGTTTGTCCATCTTTAACATATCATTCATATCACGGTCGATAATCCTGATATTGTTTAACCCTCAACTTCTATGAAACAAGGCAAATCATGAAGGTTACTTGAAAGCTCCACCCCTTTATAACTATCTATCCAATGATCGTGTTTGACCCAAACTGATTAAGGGTGAAATGCTCCAATAAGGATAGAGATCACGGCGCAAGCGTTCAAGAATGGTGAATAACAGTGGTTTTAGAGGGTTGCTTTGAAAAAGGGGCGGGTTCGAAATTTACCGAAATCTCGGAGTTCAATTCATAGACGAGGATATCTTCGGAATCAGATTGAAGGTGACAGTTGTGCCAGTGACAAACATTTTATTTTCCTTCATTGTTTTTTTTTTAACTTGAAAAACGAGACGAAGTGTTCTTCCTGCGTTCGCCGCTGGACAGAATCCGGGATATGAACTATACCGAATCGTTGTGGGAGATTAATGGAAACCAAACACCAGTGAGTATAAATAATTAAAATTGATTTAATTTTTCAATATTCATATAAACATGAAACATGAATATATATGAAAATATGCTTAATACATTTGTATCAATACATTTTTCAATATAATATTTTTCAGAATAATATTTAATAATTAAGCAAAATCATGATATTTGTATTGTATGATTGAAAAATTTGACTTTTTCTTAATATTTTTTAATTTGATACTATATTTTATTCTTTAAATCTTTAATTTTAATTGTATAATAAACGATAATATTTAACATAATTAATTAATGATCTCTTTCTTTTATATTAATAAAAAAAACAGCCTGCAAATAAATATAAACATAAGTAAATGAAATAGGTGATTACAGCGGATATGTCGCAATACGTCAGCGGCGAACTTGGAAGCTACCCGATGTGGGACAGTTCTGTTTTATACCAAACACCACCTCCTTCACACTCTCACGTAAACGAACATGGATTATATAGACAACCTTGTGCATTATTACATCAAAGGTAATTATTTTTATATATTATATTGTTATAAATATTTTTTTTAATATATTTTTAATTTGCACGATAATAAATTGAGAAAATGATTTTAAATTCTGGAAAATTTCAAATTTTAAAAAAACAAAAATATTTTATCAATTATGTATTAATTAAAATAATTTTAGTCGCTATACATCTAATGGTAGATCTCCGAATCTTCCATCATCTACTACAAAGAAACCAAGACGTCGTGTAGCAACTGTTTCACAAAGAAGAGCAGCCAATATCCGTGAAAGGCGAAGAATGTTTAATTTGAATGAAGCCTTTGATAAATTACGTAGAAAAGTGAGTTTATATGTATAAATTATATATGTATATATTAATATGTTTATATTTCTAAAAATTCATATATTTAATTTTATATATATATTTGATTTTTAGAAATTAATAATTTAAATTTAAATTTTATATTTTATACTAGTTTTTGATTTCCATAATATAATTAATATAATATATATATATAAAATAGTTATATTAAATTAGTTATAAAACAAACTTTCATATTTTAATGATTTATCTTTTATTATTATTCATTATGTTTCTTATCATTTTTTGGCAATTATTCTTCAGGTACCAACTTTCGCTTATGAAAAACGGCTCTCGAGAATCGAAACTCTGCGTCTGGCTATCACGTATATTGCATTCATGGGAGAATTACTTGGAATCGAATCGAGTAGTCCAAAACCAGAATATATTCCGAGGGAATATTATTTGCCGAATTAAAACTGAAAAATAAAAATGTTCAAATGAAAACGAAAACGAAAATAGAAAACTTTTAAAAATTAATTATTCATATGTAAATTGTTTTACGATGTTAATATTTTGATTTTTTTTTAAAAATGAAAATTAATGTGCAAATACATAAAAAAACATGATAAATGATTAATTAAAATATTAAAAAATTTAAATATTTAAAATTAAATATTTTAAAAAATTTGATACACAAATGAATATATTTCTTGAAAAATAATTAACAAAAAAAATTGAATACATTCAAATGATATTTAACTTTTCTTTTTTTCTTATATCTATAAAAAAAAGTTAATGACCTTCAAAATTTGACTTTAACACTCATTCACACATATACATATTTTTTTTTAATGTAATATTTTAATGTAAATGCAATTTTTTTATTTTATAAGAACATTTCAAAATATATTCATTTAAAAATCGAAATCAATTTTTTATCAGCTTCTTTATTTTTGAAAGATCATAAATAATTAATTTCATATAATTTAATTCGAATAATTTTATTAAATATTTAAATATTTAGCGATAATTATTAATAAATATTTTAAATTAATAAATATATAAACTTTACTTATTTCTTGTATAAAAAATATCAAGTGCAAAATATATTTTAGAATGTAATACATGTTTAAAATTAAAATTAACGTATATAAATATTATAATCAAATGATAAATAAATTAATATAAGCGTAGTTAAGTATCCTGTTGAAAAAGCATTAATTAACACTTAATGTTTATGTGATTCTACAAAATAAGATAAAAATGTCTTCCATAATTTATATAAATCTGCTTATTATATATTATCATTATATCTAAATATAAAATGTACAAACACTATCATTTATGTATTACTTTCTTTAAAAAAAAAAAACAAACTTATAAATTCATTGCTTGTCAAAATAAATTAGTAAATAGTAACTAAAACAAATATTATAAATATATAGTACTTGAAAAAAATTTTCAAAAAGATTATTATAACGAAAAAATTATTGAAAATAATTTACTAAATAATATAAATTATTATTTACTTTTAAATAAAAAAATTCTATAATAATTTAATCGATACAAATTTTTGAAAAACGATTGCTCGATATCGAATCGAGCTTTTCGAGATTCGAGAATACATTTTAAATAGTTCTTCTGAAGCAATATTCACATCAGTGAAAAAAGTTTTTTGCAATTGAATAAATGTCGCTTATGCGGTGCAAATCAATTTTCGGATTAATTACATTCTTTTGTTTAACTAGAAATATTACTGCTAATACTTATAAAAACATGAGTAGTCTTGCTGGAATTCATTCTGTTACATATGTCACAGTTCCAACACAAGATATTGCTAAAAAATTGGCTCAGTAAGAATTGATATAATCTATCGAAAAAAAAATCTATTTCTATAAAATAATTATGATTATCTATATTTACAGTGGTTTGGTTAAAAATAAATTAGCCGCATGCGTCAATATTATACCAGGACTTACATCAATGTAATATATAATATTAAGACAAATTGGAATATTTTTATTTCATTTAAAAATGTTATTATTTATATTTCAGATATGAATGGAAAAATGAAATAAACGAAGATAGCGAACTTTTACTGGTAAAATATAAAGAATATAATAATAATAATATAAATCAAATTTACTAGTATAAATTTTGCATTTTTTATTTCAGATGATAAAAACCAGAACTGATACAGTAGATACTTTAACAAAATATGTAAAGTAAGTACATATTATTATATTTAGTATCGTATAATATATATTAAAATAAATCAAATTATTTAAAAATTAATTTTAAATTCAATTTGAATAGAGAGAACCATCCATATGAAGTTTGTGAAGTCATTTCATTACCTGTAAGTAGTCAATTTTTTAATTACATTTAAATTACATTTTACATATACAATTACAATAAAATAAAAATTTGTAGATCCAAAATGGAAATGAAAAATATCTCCAATGGATAAGTGAGATTGTTCCCCCTATTAATCAAAGAAAAAAATAAAATTAGACTTTCTTTTCAAAATGAAAAATTCTAACATATAATGTATTATGATAAAAATATTTATTATTTTGCTATAAAATGACATGATTGTTTTATAAACTTTTCATTACTATGAAAAGTTATATTACGCCTTTAAGAAAAAACAATAAAATTCATTCAAATACAAATTAGAATTATTACAATTGATTTGAACACATTAATAAGCGTGTATACATATATAAACAAATAATCAAACGTTTATAATGTAGTCAGTTGTATAAATCTTATGTTACATATAAATGTAGAACTTGAAATTGTATAAGTCCAAAAATTAATATAAAAATAAGTACTATAATAATTAATTGGGTATATATATTTTTTTATTTTTTATATGTATGTTTTTTCTTTGAATTCATTTTTATTATTATATAATTAGTACTATCAGTCAATTTATTAAAATAAATATATAATAATAATAAAAATGTTATTAATAGTGGACTATGGCAACAAATTTTTTGTATCATTAATAGTTACCACAATGTTTTGAAGTTACCAGAATTTCAAAATATCCACCCTGTAAATGTATATTGTAGTAAATTTGTCATTATCTAACGTAATTCATCACTAAAACTATAATATACAGTATAAATTATATCTAGAAATATTATTTAATAGAGTCTAAGCATGTATGTGAATTCATATTTGAATATAATATTTTTTTACAAGTTAATGTTATCTACCGCCCTCATATCCCGGATAAAGTAATAATAGAGTCGATGATAAAAATTGATTAATTTCCATTTTATAATTTTTGTCTAATAAATGACGACATGATGGACAACAATTTACACCTGATGAAAAACTACGTTTTAAACAATTAACACATATATTATGTGTACATGGAATTGTAACAGGATTATAAACAAGTTCCAAACAACACGGACATGTAAACCTGCAATTTAAAAATTATAAAAATTTTAAAATATAATATTATTAAAATATTATATAAAAATATACCTTTCTGAAACTTTTTGCAAAAATATAGTTTTACCATCCGGTAAAGCTTTACGACATTCCTCCCATAATTTTGCATTTGTTTTATCTTGATTAATATGTTTCAATACTTCAGTTTCCAATTCATAAATTTCGCACTTTTGCTTTTTCTTTGGTGGTTCTTTGTTTTTTGAAAAATTAGATTTTTCTTCTTCAGCAAATATATTTCGTTTCTTATTTGTTTTATTATTTTTTGCCATTGCTTCAAGATATCCATCTGGATACATTGGTTTTAAACCTAGAGCTTCTATTCGTGCTTTACCTTCATTAGTCCATGGTGCAGGTGCAGGATCATCTCTTCTTAATAAATATCTCCATACACGAAAACCACTTTTACCTGTATCAGGGTAATATTTTACTACCTTGTATATACCATCATACCTATAATAAAAATTTTTATGAAAACTATTTTTATTAAAAAAGTAAGTATTATTATATATATAAAAATATAAATATTAATTATAATTATTATACCTATTGCCTTCTTCTGGTGCATATTTGCTATGCTTAGCAAGTTTAAAGTTTCTCACAACTCTTACAGGTATACCACCTCTCCAATCTTCAGCTGTAGCACCAACTGTTGCATTAAGTTTTGCATTGCAATTTACAGCTAATGCTTTATTCATTCTAGTTAATGTTTGGTCACAACTTTGTTCTGCTGTTCTTTTATTCCTTAATAATACATAATATAATGTATTAATTTGAATATATTTATTTATAATCAAATATCCTACCTGATAGATCTCTCCCTCCAGAACCAGTATAAATAAATTCATCGCCATTATCAATATCATCCTCATATCCTCCAGATAATACAATAGAGTATGCACAATCTGTTTCTCTTCCATGAATTCCAGCTATATGTGGTCTATGTACTCCAACTTCAGATACCTATTATTAATTTTTAATTATAAAAATATATAAAAATTAAAGATTTAATTAAAAATTTGGTTACCTGTACTCTATACATCCAACACATTCCAACTTCTACTCCTGGAATAGGCCCACGATGATTAGGTGGAACTATACTACATTCTTTTGTTCTTCCTACACAAGCCATTCCTTTACCCCAATCTCTTTTACTATTACTATTTTCATTGGTTTTCTTTTTCGTTTGTTTGAGTTTATCACCTGCCTTTAAAAAATAAAGATTTATAAAATTATATATAAATGTTATAAAATAAAATTTTATCATATAATAATTAACCTTCACAATTTCATTTTCATCGTTTTTACATTCTGGACAATACCAATAATCTTCTTCAGGTATAGAAGATAATGGAGGATTTAAACATCTTAAATGATATGCAGAGTTACATTCATCACATAAAAGAAGATTATGTTCATCTTCTTTTCCAGCACAAATTCTGCAACCACATTCTCTGCATTTTTTACGAGGATTGTCTAAACATGCATTACAAATAGCTTGAACACGTCTTCGTTTACCATTACTAATCATATGTTGTTCATCTTCAGGAGTTCTGTCTTTAAGAAGTTTTGGTTCTTCTATAGCAAAAATCTCTCCTTTAGGATTCACTTTATGATTCTCAAGCAACTGATCCCTTTTCAAATAAATATTCAAATATATATTTTAATCATACATTATATTACTTTAAAAAAATTAAATATTAAAATTATTTAATAAAATTCACCTTCCAATATGCAATGTTCCAATAAGTTCCTGTACTCTTCTCTTTTTATCTATTTTCGAAACTGTAAAATCATACCATAATCCAGTTTCTTTAGGATTATCAACATTATGATTAATCATTACATTTTGACCTATTTTTAAGCTATTAAATTGTAAAAGATGCTTTGCACGTGGTCGTACTGATGATTCAGGTACATTAAAAGGTGGAGCTTTTTCATCAAATTCCCATTGTAAATTATAAATGACTTTATCTTCTTTTTTAAAGATTTTTAATATTATTGCCTCAAACCAAGCCCCATAA